CAGTCGACTGCTGTTTACGTTCGGGCTCATACGCGTAAATCCACGATTCATCACCTGTCACGATGTCAGGCGTGTTTCGAAGCACCGCGATCGTATTTTTGAGCATTTCTTTCGACCAACCGACACGAGCCTTTTTTTGAGCGATTGACAAATTGTGTACGATCCAACGCGAACAATTTTTTTGACAGTCAAATGTTCACGCAATATTGAATGTATGCTGGTCCCACTAATGTCTAAGGTTGTCTCAGTCTCACGATAGGTCACGTGATCTTGCAATATCAGTTCACGCACAGCATCAATGGTTTTCGGAACAACAACTGATTTTGGACGACCTTCGCGGTCGCAAATCGCGGATGATGACACGAGCCATGTATTTATTTTACTTAATTAAGAACCAAGCCGCCGGCCGACGCCCGCCGCGGGCCTAATCCGGGGCCGCCGCCGTGACCGCCACAAAGGGACCTGGAGCAACGCCGTAGCAGCCGCCGCCAGACGCGCTGAGCGCAGGGATGCCCGAGCGCTGCACCTGTGAGCTGGATCACGACCGCCCGGGAGGGCAAAGACACCGGAGCTGAAATGAACTCTGGCCATACCGGCTGTTAATAAGTTAAGATTAGATTTAAGTTAGTTTTAAGTTTATTCATGTCACTGGGCTTCACCCACACACTATACTAAGTGATTAAAGTAGTTTATGAAAATGCTGGAGTCTTTCTCTCAAGTAGTTAGGCAAGCATGCATGCCTCCCTCTAGGGAGTCTGCCGACGAAGCAACCGGGCAAAGCTGAATCGCCGAAGGAAGCAGGTAATCGGAGAGGCGGTGGTTACAATACCATCGATAAACACTGGTCCTTGATGGAGCTTCATCGCCAAAAATTGAATTAAGTTCATCCATGCACTGTTGCTGAGTTAATCCACGTCGAAAATTGTAAAAAATAATCGCGCAAAAATGTTCACGATTTAATTCCTTTTTTGGGCCACGATGAATCTTTTAAGTTATTGTAAACAACACAGCGCTCGTTTGTCAAAACAACACAACGCTCGTTCTGAGTACGTATAACCTCAAAATATCCAACTTTACGATAGAGCTGTCAGTTGCCATATTGCAACACCAGGGTTGCTAAATCCCGAAACATAAAACGCAACCTTCGTATTGACTACAACTTCAAAATTTGAATTGACTTTTAAAAAATTCACGGGGTTTTACGGGATTGGGACACGGCTTATTCTACTAGTAGGTTATTATTAATCACGCTCCAACAAGTTCATCTGCAACAAAGCGCAACTCTTGACAAGAAAATGTTTTTTCTTTAGACATGCATCGTTTTAGACTTATTCGATTTGTGGCGTTCAGTTTGTGATAGAGATGCACAGATCACGCTAATTAACGGCTATATAATTGAGAATGTTAACAATAATCCAAATTCATTGACTGAATAGAAAATTTAGTATAAAATTTGCCATTTATACTAAAATTTTGAAAAAAAGGTAGTATAAAGATAAACATCGAGAATATGTTTTTTAGAAAAATTTTGTTTTGATTCAATGATAGCTTCATCAAGATAAAATTAATGCCATCATTTTCATCATCTTATCAACATCGTCTTCTGTTTCGCGAAAAATCAGTTAGGACAAAAAGGCGGGAACCTTTGCAGTGGTCACACGTAAGGTGTCCGGTTTAATTGTACAAGCAGTAAGTATTGCAGCACATTAAAAAAAAGAGAAACACAGTTATTTTAATAAAATATAGACTATAAACAGATGAAAAGGTGTTTAAACACACAGAGGTAACTGTGTATTTAAAAAGAGAAAAGTTGTTCGTACACACTTAGAGGGGCTTGTTTTAGATAATTTAAGTAATCATCAATATTTGCGTATAAAAAGTAATTTACTTCAGAAAATACTTTAAGAACGCAACAATATTCGAAACACAAACACAGTGTAGTATCTACGCCAATTACAAAAATATTTGGAATTTTAAATATATACGGAGCGGAGTGGAGTGTAGTGGCAGAGTGCTCTGAGGAGCAACGGTTTAAATATTTGTATTTTCACTATTTTTCATAAATAATTCTACGCCTTGTAATAGTGCTGTGAATAGTTCCGATTGAGTGAGTTTTTGGTTTGTCTAACAGAAAATGTTTAAATTGGTAAATTACAATTAGGTGCAAAATGATTACGTCCTATGACAACCGCTAACAGGTGTCAAGTAGCTAGTTGATTTTCAATGAGTTATATCAAACCTATTGAGGTTAATATGATTTTTCTGTTGTAATGACTGTAGACATGAGTGCTGTATATGTAGTTTCGTTTGTGGCCTTGCTATTGTAATTTTTGCCCTGTAAATAAATGCGCTCTTTGTTCTCCCTGAAATTGGTGTGCATACCCAAGACCATAAAGACCACCTGTAATATAAGTGGTGTTGGCGTACCCCTTGTGTTTGCCCATTCTCCGCAAAAGTTTACAAAATGTATTACTTAGGTCCCCCTATTGTTAACAGAGCGGTATCTGAGATACCGTGTTTTATACATTGCATTAAATACAAGCGAAATTACGCAAAAAAGTGAGAGTTTTTTTTTTAAATTG